TTTTTTTTTTTTTAGAGATAGGGTCTCACTCTTGCTCAGGCTGGTCTTAGAACTTGTGAGTTCAAGCAATCCACCTGCCTTGGCCTCCCAAAGTGCTGGAATTACAGGTGTGAGCCACCATGCCCAGCCTAGGAAACACTTTCCTGACAAAACCTCCAGGCTGTGGTCATTCTGCCCATGGTACATAATTGACATCAGTGGGCCACCACCCTGGAGAGGGAACAAATCCCTGCATAATTCCCTCTTACAGGACTAGTGGAGCCTACACAACCCAGACAGAGACCCTCTGAGGAGTGGGTGGAGGCAACACAGTGGTCTGCAGAGTGAAGCTCTGACAGGACAGCCAGATCCTGCCCACTGCGAGTTCCCACTCCAGTTGGAAAGAGAAAGCAAACACAACTACAACTCTCAAAATGACACTTCTCACCCAAAGGAGATTTTCACGTTTGTGACTGTTTTTGTCAGGTCACACAGATGGAAAATGAGCTGTAACCCAACTTGCTACAGAAAACCCCCATAATAGGCACGTCGAACCCATCCTACCTCCAGTGTAAGGCCGTCCTTCAAGAGAGGGGCAACCTCCTGCCCTAAAACACACGGGATGGGCAGGAAGCAGTGCCATTTGAACCTGAGGTGACACTTGGAAGACATGTCCAGCAGGCAAACACTGGCCCCGGGGAGGCCAGCCAGGGGTGTGACCAGGGAGCACAGAGCACCTGGTGCTAGAAAGGGCCTGAGCCTGGGCAGCTACAAGGGCTCACAGCGCTCACCCTGAGAGCTACAACAAACTCTCCTGGCAAGTGAATGTTGGCCTGGAATCCAGGACAGGGCCCTGGTGGGTCTGATACACAGCGGGAAGGGACCCACCACAGCACTGGTGTTGGCCGGTGTAGGTTCGGGACCCCCGTTTACGTCCACACTCCTCTCCCGTTTGGTGTCCTCCAGGTCTGTCACCGTGCTCGGGCCCTTCTTCTTCTTGAGCTTTGCCAGGATGGAGGACTCGCGCTCTGGGAATGGGGGCATCTCCTCCAGGACAGTTGCCTTGTTGGGAAGAACAAAGGGAGCGCCTGGTCCAGAGACCCCCTTCACCCTCAAAGCCCAACTCAAGGCTCCAGGACATACTATGGAGCAGGCTGGCATGGGCAGCAGCACCCCCGCTGCTCTGGCCTACCAGAATGTCGGTGCTGGCCACAGTGCTGAGCCGCAGATACTCCACAGCACGCTGCTGCAGCTCCACATCTGCATTCCGCAGCTGGCTGTCACTGCGCAGCACATCTTGGATGGTGGTCTTCACCTCCGGGAAGAGGTTCACAAACTTGATGTAGGTGGACAGCAGCAGCGCCCGGGTGGGCACACTGCACAGGTGGAACTTGGAGTGCAGCAGGTTGAACTGGACCAGAGGGCTGGGGGCAGGGAGGGGATGACGGGGGTACGTATCAGCTGGCCTGACTCGCCTACATGCCCCAGCAGGGGAGGGACCAGACGCTCGCCAGTCCCTCACCTCAAGTTCCCAATGTAACTGCAAACACTCTCTAACAATGTCAGCCATTCGAAACCGACTCTGTCAACTACACCTGTTTTTGTGTTGCTTGCAGGTATATAAAAGATCAACTCAAAACAGAAGTGGCCTTACAGGACTTCTCGGTGAGGCCCAACTTTGAGTCTCAGGCCATCTCACCCATGTGAGGACACTGGCCACACTGCACCCAGCCTCGCAAGCCCAGCCAGAACCCCCCCAGGGTCTCTTACCTGGACCTGGGGTCCCCAGCGATCAAGTTTCCAAACTCCCCTAGGATGTAGCCACCCACTTTGACCAGGTTCTCATGGCACGCTGGGGCCTGAAGGGCCTGCAAAACCATTGACACGTGAGCAGCTGGCGATGTGTCCTGTCCCCAGCTGAGCCCCACCCTTGCTCCTTAGCATTTCCAGGTCCTGTACACACTGGGGACACCAGCTCTAAGAGGAGATGTCAGGCATAGGCACAGAAGGACAGTGTGAGGCACGAGGCTGGGCAGCTTTCTCTAGTGGACCCTTGTAAACCAAAAGTTTGGGAATTAGTGTGAGAAGAAACAGAGTCAATAAAGGTCTCAGAAGCAGAAGACCCAGAATCTCCAGGAAGTGCTAGAAGGGAGTCCAGGAACACCCCCGGAAACCACCACTGCCATCCAGACAGGCTCCCTACCCTGCTGGGCCTCACCTCGAACACGGTCTTGGCAGCGTAGCCCTGCACATCATCTCGATTGATGACAATCTGGATGACTCGGTACCACACCTCCTCACTCACATAGTCACCCGCGATCCGTATCAGGTTTAAGATGGTGTCCACATACCAGGCATAATCCACAGCGTACTTCTCGGCTAGAATGGCGACCTTCAGCACCTGTGGGGAGGCTGCTTAGGACAGGTAGCCACAGGCCATCAGCTACCCTGAGATCTGGCTGTCACCTAAAGCCCAAGCGAGGGCTTCAGGAAGAAGCCCTCTACAAAAGCTCGGGATGCATAGGGGCTCTCATAGCATCTCTACAAAAGCTCAGGATGCATAGGGGCTCTCATAGGTCTCCAGAGGAGCCCAGAGCCCCAAGAGTCTAAGTCACTGTCTTAAATGAGGACAGCAGCCCACCCACCAGTAAAAGACCAAAGGCCCAGTCGTTTGCACAAGGGAGCCTCATATGGCAACAATGCCACCCTCACAGGAGCTGTCTCCAGGCTGCAGTCCAGGCCAGGCCACTGCTATCCCTCACCCTCCCAAAGGCCCAGCCCTGGGGCAGCCCCACTCTGGTGCTCCTTCCTACTCTGGCTGATCTCCCAAAGAGCCTCACCTGGCAGTCCCTTTTCTCCTCCGTCCCCTCAAACACTGGCACCCCCGGCCCTGTTTATCTCCCTTCACTCTTCACAGAGACCCTCCACTCCTTCATCCCGTGCCCTGTTGTGCCCACCCACACCCTCCAGCCAGCCCCTCTGGTGCTCCTGAGCACAGCCCCAGGGCCACTGCCTACATCCTGTAGTCGCTAAACCAACTCTGTGACACTTCCAGCACACCATTCCAAAGACACTGCCTCTAAGCCCCATCCTAGTCCACAGTGCACACATGGGGCCCCTCAGAGCCACACTGGCCCCCTCCTGCCTTCCCAGTGGCCTCAGCACCACGGCTGTCTATTGAACAGGCCACTATCACCTCCACAAGAAGCCCTCCAAGGCCCCCAGGTATGGGTACTCCCTCCAGTCATCCCCCCCGAAACACACGGAGACCAGGGGTCCTGCTCAGTCTGTCCAAGAAAGGGATGTGGCCCCCTTGCAGCAGAGAGTAGGTATGGCCCAGGTCTGGACCTCCAGACCCAGACAACATGCACTAACATGCCCTGAACTGGACAGTATGTGTCTCATACTCCATGCCCAAAGATAACAATGAAAAGCTCACACCTCTGCCTCTGACACGCCCAGAGCTAACCCACCCACCACAGGATCCAAGGCCAGGCCATGCTGACCCAGCCAGAACAGATACAAACCACTGGCTGGGGTGAATAGGCCACCTGACCAGCAGATTCCCACACTCCTACCCAGCCCCTGCCCTTGGAGCCTCCCTCCCCACCAGGCTCATGGTCAGGAATCTACCACCTGAGGGGCTCCATGGAAAGCACCCCCTGCTGTGGGCAAATGCAGTGCTGTTCTGAGGTCCAGGCAGTGCTAGTACCTCTCAGCACCAAGGCACCAACACCTGAGCCTCATTCAATAAAAGAACCCTGAGGCCCACAGGTCCCACCCCACCAGCACAACCACATCCCCACTTAGGGCAATCCTGTCACCTGTACCAAAGCTCCCAAGGAGCCCAAGCTGCACTTTGTCCCCTAAAAAGACAAATAAGAAAATGGTCTTCAACCAGGCACAATGGCTCACACCTATAACCCCAGCAATTTGCAAGGCAAAAATGAAAGGATCTCTTGAGCCCAGCCATTCAAGACCAGCCTGAGCAACCTAGTAAGACTCTATCTCTTCAAAAAAAATGTTTTAATTAGCCAGGCATAGTGGCCTGCTCCTGTTGTCCCAGCTACCCAGGAAGCTGAGGCAGGTGATCACTTGAGCCCAGGAGGTAAGAGGCTATAGTGAACTGTGATTACACCACTGTACCCCAGCCTGGGTAACAGAGCAAGATCCTATCTCTCAAAAAAAAAAAAAAAAAGAAAGAAAGAAAATACTTTTCATACAATGGAGAGGCTGTGGTCCTGGCTAGTGACAGGACAAAGGCCAACCCAATTTTCTAATATAGAACAACGTGTTGGTGGCTTCCCCACTCGAATCCCACCGTCTGTGTAATAGTCAACACTGAGAGGCGACCCCTCAGCTGAGTGCACAAGACAGCTCAGGCCCTCTTCTCTGTGGGCCATGTGGCCATCACCAATTCTTCCCTCATGCTCTGGGTTACATTCAGTCTTGCACACAAGAGTTTGCTAAATTTTATACGGCTTTGGCAGGTATGTGTGCCTACCATGGCAATGACAAAACAACACTGTCCACTAAACTATGGCTTAGAGCCTTCCTCCCTAGAGACATCAAGAAATATACAGGACATGACATGCAGAGCTCAGCTCAGACCTGCAAGGACAGGCCAAGAAGGCCGTGAATAGTGGGCACTTCCATTACTATGCAGACAGAAAAGCTCTCCTGGAAGTGCTGATTGAAAAGCTGAGGCCAAGGGGGCTTTAACATGGGATCCAGGCATGATCCCGTCAAGCTGGCTGAGCAGAACCACAAAACACAAAGGAGACCCTGCATCTGCAGCCACATCTGTGGCCGGACAGGGCTTGATGGAGGCCATCAGGACTCACGATCTCTTCTCGGATGGAGTAGTCGGCCGTCTCCAGGTAGCTCAGCATCTCAGCCACAATCTGTTGGGCATTGCTGCGGTCACACATGGCATAGAGGAGGTCCACAGCCCGCTGCCGCACACTCACATCCCGCTCGGTCTAGGGGAGTGAAGCACAGGCCAGGTGGGTGCTACATCCACTGCATCAGCATGCAGATACTTTAACCCAGACAGGCAGGGCAGCCCCTTTCCAACGCCCTCTGACTTCTCCTTACTCACTGTCCATTTCTGGTAGCCAATAGGCCCCACACACACACAGAGCCCCTCACCCCCAACTCACTTTCCCCCCTCGATCTCTACGCTCAGACCAAACAGGTTCAGATGGCCTAGAATAAAGATCCATCTGCTCACTCATCCCTGGCCAGCTTCTCTGAGGCCTGAACACAGTGCCCGGCATGGTCGTCAGGCCTTTCCATTGTGTGGTCACAGATCAGCACCTCCCGAGTTGCCAGGGAGCTAGTCACAAAGCAGGTTCTTTCACTTCACCCAAGAACGCAGCATGAGGCCTTCACAGGCCACACAGCACAGCAGGGCCTAAAGCCCCAGTGCAGGTCTGGGAAACACTTTGGAGGCTACTACTGCTATCCCTGGACACTCACCAGTGAAGAACAGAGCAGGCACTAATAGCACTGGGTGCTGACCTAACCCCAAGAGGCCCAACCCCTCAGCAGACTCTTGTTCAAAATAGGTACCCAGGCTGGGGGCAGTGGCTCACACCTGTAATCTCAGCTCTCTGGGAGGCCAAGGAGGTGAATTGCTTGAGCTCAGGAGTTTAAGACCAGCCAGAGCAAGAGCAAAACCCAGTCTCTACTAAAAACAGAGAAATTAGCTCAGCATGGTGGTAGGCACCTGTAGTCCTAGCTACTCAGGAGGCCGAGGCAGGAGGATCACTTTAGCCTTGGTGTTTAAGAGCAGCCTCAGGTACACAGTGAGACTCATTTGTACAAAATAGACAAACAAAAGAACCAAATAATCACCCAAAGCAGCCGTGAGTTACATGTTAATACCAAGGAGCAAAGTGGGCATAGCTGTGAGGCTGGGGTGAGAACGAGGGATGTGGAGTGTCCCCGCTGCCTTCTGTTTCCTCGCACACTTGTGCTGACAGGGATGTAGCAGATGCTGGGTGCACTGGATCATGGAGGACAAAGGCAGACAATGGGGAAGAGAAATCACAGGGCTCTTCCGACTCTGGAATTTTAATCCTTGAAAAAAGTACATTTCCCTTCGGAAAACAGGCATTTTCTTAGAGATAAAAAGCATAAAATATTTCATCTTTCTACCAAAAAGAATTGTTTTTATTTCCTGAAATATTTGTCAGGACTCTATTATGTGAAACCAAATATCGTGACCTTTCCACAGCAGAGACACAACTACCCAACAGAGAACAGGGCTATTCTGACCACAGCAGGGCAATCTGGCCTTGAGCTGAGACAGGACCTCAGGGCAGGGTAGAGAATGCACTAGGCGGGGTCCAGCTCAGTCCTGAGAGGAATCTGTGTCAACAGGAAGCACTCCGTCCTGCAGAGCTCTGCAGTAGGGCCAGGGCACCTGGGGGAGTGAGCACCCCAGGTCAGAGTACATACCTTCAGGGCATTGATGACGGTGTCGATGTGCGTCTTGACGGCCTCGTGGGAAAACTCGGAGCTGGCCAGTGCACACATGCTCTCCAGGGCCAGGTAGCGCAGGTTGGTCTCACGATGCTGTAGGAACTGGCCCAGCTGGTTGCAGGCACGCACCAGCAGGTTGGGCTCGCTGCATGGAGGGAAAGGGGACTAAGCTCCCAGCCATGGTTGCACCTTGCTAAACACTTCCATGCTGCCTAAGATGAGGATGCCTCAAACCCAGCTGGTGGTTCTGCATCAATCTGCCCACAAGTCACTATGAAAGCAAACCATGGGCCTCCAGGGCTTTTCTGAGCAACTCTGCAGAATCCCACCAACTCCAGAGAGCTGAGAACGGAAGGACCTTGCACCACGCTGCTGGTCAAGGTGTGGCAGAACTGTGACCGCAGCAGGGGCAGCCCTCATGGACAGTGGGCAGGAGTCCTGAGAGGAGACTGAAGAAGAGGCAAGGAGGGGAAGTGCAGTGGCCAAAGAACTCAGTTAAGTCTCCGCCTGCTCTATGTTGCCTCCTAGTGACAGCACTTCTCTTCACACCCATGTAACAGGGACAAGGTTTCCTGATTCTGCAAGTTTTAAGTCTCTAATCCTGTTGAAGTGTAACTCTCAGACTTCCCTGGGAAACTACCTTTGTTAAAAGACAACTGTGAGAAATGGTTTTAGCTAGTCACAGAGAACACCTACCCACGGCTTGGTGTGCTCTTCGTCACCAAGGCCCAGTGGGTGTCTCCAACAGCCCTGCCTGCAAGCTATGCTGTGGTGCTCACAGAACCCTAAAGCAGGTAAGAACATGGAGGGGGGGAGGGCATGTACCATGGGAGCTGAGCAGCAGAGGCGAGGAGGGAGCCCGCCCAGGCGAGCCAATAACCACCGCCTCACCTATTCTGCACTATATGGGCAGACATGGCTATCGTACCATTGCCCGGGATTGCCCAGACCAAAACAGCACAGCTCATGCCCCAGGAAAGCCACAGCCATTTTCTCCTCCCCTCTACAGGATTATGTGAGGAACCAGGCAGGAGTGGGGCTGCCAGTAAGCAAGAAAGGCCCTGGAGGGAGCACAACCAGCAAAGCAGTGGTGGTTGAGTCCAAGATTAGAGAGGACACGCCAGGCTGGAGAAGGGAGGACAGGAGGGAGCTCATGGGCACAGAACACACACACAGCTCGGAAGGAAGGGAAGGCCAAGTGCACTGCAGAACCATGGAAAGGATAAATGTAGACATGTCCTGCCTACTCCATGTAATGTCAGCAAAAAGAGAAGCACAGGTGTTCAGGAGGTAGCCTTTCTGTGGCAGGCAACTCACCTGTCATGGTGAATGATTAAGCTGATGGCCTCAAAGAGCACAGCATTCTTTGCATTTGAGTGCTGAACTTTCTTTGACTTTGGTGGTTCCTGGGCTTTGTTCAGGACAGTCTCCAGGCACTCTGTCAGGCGGCCTCGTACCGCAGGATCTTCTGGGCGAGATAGAAAGGTGCCAGCCAGGCTCCCAGACCCACCACCCCTGTCCTGGCTGCACACCTCAGGGAAGAGGCTCTCCCAACACAATGCACATCTTCCACTTTGAATATGGTTTATCCTCATTTGAGTACACAGGTGAGAGTATTCACAGAACTGTGCGAAAATGGGTGGTAAGTGTCCCTGTCCACATGATGTCAGAGGGCTTAACAGCCACAGTAACTGCACATATACTTCAATGCAAATGACACACAGAACGCTCTGCTGAGACACAAATTACATAAATCTAAAGGAAATAAAATCTGAGAGACACAGTAAGATGCATCATAAAAGAGTTGAAGGAAAAGGGGGACAAAAGGTTTCCTCTACCTGAGATAATTCTAAAAGAAACAGAAAATGTAAACAGTAAAAAAAGAAACAATTTGGGCTGGGCAGAGTGGCTCACACCTATAATCCTAGCACTCTAGGAGGCCCAGGTAGGTGGATCACTTGTGCTCATGAGTACAAGACCAGCCAAAGGAAGAGCAAGATCCAATCTCTATTATAAATAGAAAAACTAGTCGAGGCTTATGGCAGCCACCTATAGTCCTAGCTACTCCAGAGGCTAAGGAAAAAGGATCACTTGAGCCAAAGAGTTAGAGGTTGCTGTCAGCTATCATACCAGAGCACTCTACTGAGGGTGACAAATTGAGAATCTCTCAAAAAGAAACAAAGAATTTTAAGGTTCCACTAGAACCAGAAGAAGATAATGAACCAAAAAAGAATGAGAAAGCAACAAAATACCAGAATATCAAAAAAGCTCATGCAACATTATCTATTAAAAAACAGCAGCACATCCAGTTTGCAACAAAACCACCAATGGAGAACAGCTGGCCCCTGTGAGGATTGAGGAGGGCGAAGATTCTGCAAACCACATCAAATCAGAAACTCTAGCCCCAGCTCTGTGGGAGGCCCCTTCAACCCAGTGAGGCACAGGGACCCTACTCAACATGACCAGTGTTTCTACTTCAAGATCAAAAGATGTTTCATACAGAAAGTTACAAAGAAAACATCCTTTATGAAAATAAACATTAAAGGCGGTGCACCCGTAGCACAGCAGTTATGGTGCCAGCCACATACACCAAAGTTGGAGGGTTCGAACCCGCCCAGGTCAACTAAATAACAATGACAACTGCAACAAAAAATAGCCAGGTGTTGTGGCAGGTGCCTGTAGTCCCAGCTACTTGAGAGGCTGAGGCAAGAGAATCACTTAAGCCCAGGAGTTTGAGGTTTCTGTGAGCTATGGCTCACCACAGCTCTCTACCGAGGGCAACAAGTGAAACTCTGTTTCAAAAAAATAAAAATTAAAAAAAAAAAAAATTAAAATATAAAGATTAGAACAACAAAGTAATCTCTGTAGAAGGTGACTTGGAATATGTAACAATTTTAATGTATATTCTTCCACCAAGAAATTCTGTTTCTAGACATGCACCTTACGAGTCAAATGGAATGTCTCAGGATGAAAGAGAAACAAGAAAGTAGCTTTGACATGTATAGAAACATTATACTGATGACTGAAATTTAGGATACAAGTTCCTAATAGTTTCAAGTTTTAATTTTAAAAAACTGCCTCAAAAAAGCTGCACACATCTGACACTCCACAAAATCACAGACAAATCCAACCTCAACAGCCACTCCATGAAAGCCAAGATGTGGGTGGCAGCAACAGCAGAGGCTCCGGGACAAGATGTGGGCTATCAACTCCCTTCTGAACTAAATGAATCCCCCATGAAAGGCTGGGGCAGAGCCCCACCTGGCGGCAGGGCCATTACCTGGGGGTGGGTAGCACTGCAGCAGCCTCAGAAGCTTGACTGATAGCCAGGGTGCCGGGACAAAGTAGTAGGTGTAATCCTGAAGGTCTGTGGACGCGGACGTCACAATCTGTAAGGCAACAGGAGGGGTGAGACAACATTGCCTGTCAGGAGCCCCAGGAAGGGGACCAAATAATCCTGGTTCCCCAATACGCCTCAGCCAGGAGTACGGCTCTGTTTACAGTGCCAGGATAATGCTTACTACCTTTCTACCCTTCACCTCACGTCGGAGGGTGGGGGAAGGACAGCCCTGTCACCTTCAGCAGCAACTCTGAATGCTGCTGCTGTGCTCTGTGGTGCACAAAGTGGCCAAGGGCGCAACAACCTAGTGACACAAAATACCATGGCACCTGTGCATGGTAATGGCATGCACAGCCCCAGCCAAGCTTCTGGACAAATGGCCTCTGCCATGGCCCCACAGTTCCACCAACACCCAAGCCAGGGTCCACCCCACCTCCAGCTTCAGGACAGCAGAGCACTCCTCCCTCACCCCACAAAGAGATGACCAGCTCAGCTGTCTGGGAAGAGGGTGGACCCACACCTACCACCAGAAGGGACCAGAACCACATCACATCTGAGCAAGGCAGGGACTCTGTCAGTATGAGCTACCTTTGAAATGTGTTATGCCACCGAAGCCATTCTCAGAAAGTCATAGCTTTAAATAAAGATATTTGGAACAAATATAAGGAGAAAAGCAAAGAAAATTCATCTGAAGTTTTTAAAAGACACTAGAAAACTAACCCAAAGAAAGTAGAAGAAACAAAATAATAAAGATATAAGCAAAAGGTAATAAAGTAGAAAAAAATACAACACTGAGAACCAACAAGGTCAAAAGTTAATTATTCAAAAGAAATTAGCACACACTCAAAATTACTCAAGAGAAAATGAAAAGGTGCAAATATCCGATATGAAAACTGAACAGAGGCCGGGCGCACTGGCTCACGCCTATAACCCCAGCACTTAGAAGGGCGAGGCAGGTACATTGCCTGAGCTCATGGGTTCAAGACCAGCCTGAATCAGAGCGAGACCTCACCTCTAAAAATAACAGGGCTTTCACATTGCATATCAAAGCAGTACCCTAAACCCCATAAATGCATCAATGTACAAAGTTAAAAAAAATAATAATAATAAATAAAAATAACAGGGCATTGTGGCAGGCACCTATAGTCCCAGCTACTTGAGAGGGTGAGGAAGAAAATCACTTCAGCCCAAGAGTTTGAGGTTGCTGTGAGTTATGGTGCCATGGTAGTCCACCAAAAGCAACATAGTAAAATGCTGTCTTAAAAAAAAAAAAGGACAGTACCTGTGGCTCAAAGGAGTAGGGCACCGGCCCATATGCCAGAGTTGGCAGGTTCAAACCCAGCCCAGCCAAAAAAAAAGAAAAAAGACATGAACATTGGGATGAATTAACAAGTGCCAAGAAAATGCAACTTGGGGTGGCGCCTAGGCTCAGTAAGTAGGGTGCCAGCCCCATATACTGAGGCTGGCAGGTTCGAACCCAGTCCCAGCCAAATTGCAACAAAAAAATAGCCAAGCACTGTGGCAGGTGCCTGTAGTCCCAGCTACTGGGGAGGCTGAGGTAAGAGAATCGCCTAAGCCCAAGAGCTAGAGGTTGCTGTGAGCTGTGACACCACAGCATTCCACCAAGGGCAACAAAGTGAGACTTGGCCTCTTAAAAAAAGAGAGAGAGAGAGAGAGAAAAGAAAATGCAACTTGGGCCAGGCCCAGTGGCTCACACCTATAATCCTAGCACTCTGAGAGCTGAGCAGGTGGATTGCCTGAGCTCATAGGTTCAAGACCAGCCTGAGCCAAAGTAAAACTTTATCTCTAAAAATAGCCGGGCATTGTGACAGACACCTATAGTCCCAGCTACTCAGGAGGCTGAGGAAAGAGAATCATTTGAACCCAAGAGTTTGATGTTGCTGTGAGCTATGATACCAGCGCACTCTACCCAGGGGGACAAAGTGAGACTCTGTCTCAAAAAAAAAAAAAAAGCAACTTAACCCAAAGTGATGAATAAAGAAACAGAAAATATGAAGTTTTGTAACTTACTAAATAAACTGAATCCATAGACATTTTCCCATAAAGAAAACCCAAAGTTCAAACAGTTTTAACAGTTTATGATAAAAATGTTTAAGGGGAGGGGAGGGGGAGGATGGGTGGAGGGAGGGTAATTGGTAGGACCACACCTATGGTGCATCTTACAAGGGTACATGTGAAATTTACTAAATGTAGAATACAAATGTCTTAATGCAATAAGAAAATGCCGTGAAGGCTATGTTAACCAGTTTGATGAAAATATTTCAGATTGTATATAAAACCAACATATAGTGCCCCATGATTGTATTAATGTACACAGCTATGATTTAATTAAAAAAATTGTTTAGTAAGGCTCAGAGACTGTAGCTCAGTGGTTAGGACACCAGCCACATACATCGGGGCTGGCAGGTTCAAACCCAGCCCGGGCCTGTGAAACAATGACGACTACAATAACAACAACAATAACAAAAATAGCCTGGCACTGTGGCAGGTGCCTGTAGTCCTACCTGCTCAGGAGGCTGAGGCAACAGAATCACTTAAGCCCAAGAGTTTGAAATTGCTGTGACAAGAGTTTGAAATCCCTATGACTCCACAGCACTCTACCAAGAGTGACATAGTAAAACTCCATCTCAAATAATAATAATAATAATAATGTTTAGCAAACTAGACAGAGAAGGGAATGTCTTCAACGTTGAGGAAGAGAACCAAACAGCATGTCACAGCAAATATCATACTTAATGGCAAAACATGAAAAGTTTCCCACTGAAACAAGAAAGTAGACATCAATCCTTACGTTCAACATCACAGTAGAGGTCTAAGTTGAAGCAGTAACATAGAAAATACATACAGATACAGACTGCAGAAAAATAAACTCATTATCCATAGAAAGTATGATGTAAAAGAAAGATTTCTTTCTGTACAAAGAAATCTACATATAATTCACTGAAATTATTAAGTGAGTTTCATAACTCAGGGAAAATTGTCAACTCCAAGATTAATATGCAAAAACCAACTGCACAATATAGGGTCAAATGATTTCTGCCAAGGGTGCCAAGGTCACCCGGGGGGAAAGACAGTCTTCTTAACAATGTTAGGAAAACCCAACGCCCACAGCTACACAACGTACAAAAGCAGCTCAACACCAAAGACCTAAGGTAAGACCAAAAACAATAAAAATCTTAAAGAAAACATAGGGCAGAAACTTCACAACACTGAATTTGGGTATGATTTCTCAGATATGACACCAAAGGCACAGGGAACAACAACAAAAAAATAAACAAACTGGACTTCATAAAAAAAAAATTTTTTTTTTTTTTGAGACAAGAGTTTCACTTTGTCACCCCCAGGAGTGCGCTGTGGTATCACAGCTCACAGCAACCTCAAACTCTTGGGCCCAAGGGATTCTCCTGCCTCAGCCTCCCTAGTAGCTGGGACAGCTATTTTTAGAGACAGGGTCTTACTCTTGCTCAGGCTGGTCTTAAACTGGTGAGCTCAGGCAACTCAGCCTCCCAAGTGCTGGGATTACAGACATGAGCCACCGCTCCAAGTCTTAATTTTTTTTAATTTTGTACATCAAAACACTACCAACAGAGTAAAAAGACCACACACAAAATGGGAAAATTTTTGAGTTACATAGCTAATAAGTAATCAATATCCAGAAAGTATAGAGAACTCCACAAATTCAACAACAGAAAAAACAAGCAGCCCAGTTAGAAATGGACAAAGGACTTTTAACAGACAGTCCTATAAAGAAGACACATGAGGGTGGATAAGCACATGAAAGAACGACACTCTCTGTCCCTGACCATCACAGAGCTGCAAATCAGGGCCACCGTAAGGGGCCACAGCGAGAGTCCACCTCCCGCTCAGCAGAATGGCTGCTGTCAAGAGACAGAAAACAGGGTGGGCAAGGTGCCTCCCATTTGTAATCCCAATAGTCTAGGACATCGAGGAGGGTGGATCACTTGAGCTTAGGAGTTCAAGACCAGCCTGAGCAAGACCAAGACCCCATCACTACTAAAAACAGAAAAACTAGCTGGGCATTTTGGCAGGAGCCTGTAGTCCCAGCTACTCAGGAGGCTGAGGCAAGAGAATCACTTGAGCCCAAGAGTGTGAAGCTGCTGTGAGCTGTGATGCCATGGACAATAAAGAGAGCAAGTCCTTAGCTCCAAAAAGTAAAAAAAAAAAAAAAAAAAAAACAAATATCACAATACCACTCAGCCAGGATGGTTACCACCCCAAAGAACAGAACACTCACTTCCCTCAGGTCTCCAGTGTGCCCTGAAAACTGTGGACTTGCAGTCTCTACAGCAGCGGTTCTCAACCTGTGGGTTGCCACCCCTTTGTAACAATGAAAATACACTGTGGCATTAGGAAGGTTGAGAACCACTGCTACCATCATTTGAGCCAATTCCTTAAAATAAGTATCTAGACAGATGGTTATGGACATACACACATATCCTGTTGACTGCTTCTCTGGAGAACTCTGACTAATACATGAACTGAGTCCAAAAATTAGGGAAAATATTTCATTAAAGAAATTTAAAGAGTATATGTGAGCCTATAAACCAGCAGTTCTCAACCTGTGAGTTGCAACCCCTTTGTAACAATGAAAATACATTGCACCATTAGGAAGGTTGAGAACCACTGCTATAAACCAATTAGAAAATATGCAAGTAAATTCATATATTCTTTTTATCTTAAAATAGAGAATTAGTTAACAGCTACCAGTTTTTTTCACACAATTCAAACATTTTCTTCAAAGTCTGCCTTGAAAGGGCAGCTATAGGGAGCTTAGAGGCCCATGTCTTTGTAACCTGCACCTGCTTTACAGCCCAGTCATTGCAGATGCTTCAAAACAGTTGACTTTCAGTGACTCTGCATCCCTTAATAATGGTTCATTTCACCAAAATGAGATCTGTAAACTGTTCCAGACACTCAATCTGCACGTGGTGATCAGAACTGCTTCAGTGTTTATATGGTGAAGTGGGTAAAATCAGAAGTTCACATCAATGCATTCCTGTGTACACATCTGATATTTTTCCTTGACCTTGCACTTACAGAAAATATATATCTTTTTCCATAAAATACAAGTTTCTAACACTAGTACTATGTTTATTTTCCTTTACTCAAGAAAGTGCCTATAGTCACAGTTTTATCAATATTTTTTAAGAAAATCTGGGTGTTGATAAAGAAACCACATGCGGGCGGGGCCTGTGGCTCAGTGAGTAGGGTGCCGGCCCCATACACTGAGGGTGGCAGTTTCAAACCCAGCCTCGGCCAAACTGCAACAAAAAAAATAGCCAGGCATTGTGGCCGGTGCCTGTAGTTCCAGCTACTCAGGAGGCTGAGGAAAGAGAATCACCCAGGAGTTGGAGGTAGTTGTGAGCTGTGTGACGCCATGGCACTCTCTACCGAGGGTAATAAAGTAAGACTCTGTCTCTACAAAAAGGAAAAAAAAAAAAGAAAAAGAAACCACATGCTCTGAGTGAGGCGAAAATCTCAGAGATGCCACCAACAAGTCATCAGCGATGGCAGATGCAGGACAGGAGATCTCACGCACACCACAGGCAGTGCCAACCGGACCACCCTGTGGAAGCTGGTCCGGTCCTGTCCATTACCTCAGGCTGAAGAGCAGCTGCCCAAGGCCCAGCAAGGCCACATCAGGGTAAACGCCCACCAGTAGTGCACCTATACCTACACGCCCACCAGTAGTGCACAAACCCAGAGGCACCCAAGGCTCCCATAGCTCTATCATTCACAACGGCGTCAAGGTAGAAGAAAGCAGCTGAGTCTGCACCACAACAGTGGATAGATGACACACTCACACGGTTGGATTCTACGCAGCACCAGGAATAACTGAACAACAGCTAAGCAAAACAAAGAGGGTTTCTCCATGGTGAGCAAAACAAGTCAAACACAAAAGAATACATTCAGGATCAATTTTTGTGAAATTCAAAACACAGAGCTAAGGACAGGTTTTAGGGTGTGTGCTCAAGTGGTAGCACCTGGAAAACAAGGAGCGGGCACCACACAGCAGTCAGGCCAGGCTCTTCAGGCGGGACCACAGGGCTTAGCAGCACTGTCCCCACACAGGAAGTGAGTGCTGGCTCACTCTGGTGACAGGACCGCCAAAGAGACTCCTTGTCCCTGCATGCCGTCCAGCACAGAAGGTGCTTCTCAATTACCAAAAAGGTCAAAAGGAAAGCCAAGTCCCAACCAAGACAGCTTCCATTCTTGGGTTACCAAGACTGGAATACCTTGCATTCTAGAAGGAAACTAACACACAAGGTGAATCACTAGACACACAGCCATCGCCTCTCATCCCCACAAGCAGACTTACCCGGCTCAGTCTCGAGACAGCCAGAGAGACGGAGGTTTTAAACTCTTCTGGGTTCTTCTGCGCTAGAGTGGTGATCAGACTGGTGGCGGCAGTAACCACACCCTGGAAGAAACACGCAAAAGACACTCTGACGCCAGTCAAAATACTAGAAGATGACCACTCATTTTAGACTCATTTTCAAAATAAAACCAGTAGCCTATAGGCCACTTTAGCCCTCAGCCTTCAAAACCACTCTGATGGGACCACACTGTTTTCAAAACCCAGACAGCACACACACAGCTGTCTTCTTTCTCTCTGAAAACATGGAAACCCAGCTATGTCTAGCCTAGGCCTCTGCTATAATGACAGCTGCCAGGCAACAAAGGTGCAGGCCACACACACCACCCAGCCTGACCCGCACCTCCATCTCAGGTCTCAGTCATTCCAGGTTAACTGTAAAGAGACCCGTCATCTTCAGACTTGTGCAAATCTTTACAACCCAGAAGCAAGACCACAGAAAACAGCCACTGAGAAAGCTCACTTTCCTTCCGTAGAAGCGGCCCCAGCTGTGTCCCTGAACCAGCAGGCTGGATGAGAGCCACAGGCACACCCCTCAAGCCGGTCCCAGACCCCACTGGCCTTGGAGGGAACAGATTAAAAACCCGGTGCACACAACTCCTTCTGAGAAGCACAGGAGCACCAGGCCCGGGACCACCACTAGTTAACTCGGGGTATCTCACACCACCTCACAGACTGGTTATGCGAAGAAGTTCTTTAGGTGCTCTTCCTCACTCAGGCAAAAAAAAAAATTTTAAACAAGGTTCTTTCATGAATATTTAAAAAAATATAAAACTGAATGATACTTATTGGCTCTGGAGACATGAGCAGTAAAGCCTGCCAAGGAATGGTCCAGAGCTCCATGGTGCCCACCGCTGCCCCAGAGGGCCATGTGTGTTGCTCCCTTGACTTCCTATGAGAACGTGAAAGCTGTTACAGAAACGGGTCAGACTTGTCTCACTGTACACTTCTCAGAGGGCACAGTAAGCGCTAAAAGGCGTTCCTGTCCAACAGAGAACTTTTATGCTATTCATCATCGGTGCTCTCACTGCAAAATGGGACAGACTACTCTCTACTGGGCTCCCAAGTGTGTGGCCAGAGGTCTAGCCCCCCAAAAGGATGCACCCTTGGAGTCAGTGGAGCCAACAGCACCTGCAGTCACTGAGCCAAGCCCTTGCCCCTCTGTAGGAAGCTGCTGCCTGGCTGCACCTGTACAGGGCCTGTCTCAGCACAACTTCATCCTTAAGGCCCAGGACCACCTGGCCCAGCCAAGTACCCAAGTACCTTGTGGCACTAAGGTTCAGCCCTGTGGCCACAGGAGCTCCCCTATAGGTGGGAGTGATTATAGCATCTGCCAGGACCCCTAGGGCAGCGTAGCCCTGTCTACGGAGAGCATCGAGTGGGGGCCCAGCATGGAGCCACCCTCATGTTATACCTCCTGCACCCCTGACGGCACTTGGGCTCCCACCCACTATGAAGCCCTGGTCCGGGCCTGGGTCTGGGAGACGCCATTCAGTCTTTGTGAGCCTTAGCACTCTCATCTGCAGAACAGGAAAGACCCATCGTCCTCCAGGGCCTGCGTGAGGGTGCCGTGCCCCTTGACCCCGCCTGATGGCCTGTCGGGCTCCTGACCAGCACCAGAAAGTGGCATCCTCAGCTCTCCTCCCAAGGTCCCTCTGCCTTGCCCCCCCCATCGCAACACTGCCTGCTGGTCCCCCTCAATGCAGGGGTGAAGACACAGGGATAGCTCAGACAACTGTGGGACCATAGCAAAACATCTGATGCAACCTCACACGCTTTCCCCTGAAACCACACGTAATGATTATTTACTTTTCATTTCATTTTTAAAGTAACTTTCTCTTCTGGAACAAAAATGTACTGGCCAATTAACATGCTCAAGAATATCAACTCAAAAAAAAAAAAAAAAAGGATTTTTTTCAT